CTCCATTTAGAAAATAATACCACCAAAAGTAAGGAGCAACAACCTTTTTGTTCAGTATCATGCAACTCCTTTTTTCTCTCAAATTGCCTCAAGCACAAACAACTAAACGACATTGTAGAAACAAACCCAAATGATAACTGCCACACGTGTGGCACGAAGGACTCCGACCCCGACATTTTTTACAACCAATGTTGGCATCTAAAAAGAAAAAGCAACCCCCCTCCCGCTCCGCACAAAAGAAACTGAAACTTGCTTGACCCACAGTCAAAAATAAGAAGTAAAATCAAAGGTGCTCATTTATATGCACCATGGAATCAAAACCTAGAACTTCCGCCCACCAATGATTTGGAAAGAAATGAAAGGATATTCAAGCAATGTCAGTCGTTTCTTCCATGCCAGCAATGGAGCATCAAGCTTATAATTAGGCATGTCTCTCTCCATGTAGTGGAAATGGCATGTGGCTCCCAATGAGGTATCATGCACCATGAAAAGGAAAGAGAAGTAAACTTGAAATTGATGTGGAAAATCAAGGGGGCACGGTTGGGGGATGGCGAATGTAGGTGCTCATCTTCGAATAACAGAATGGGCAGGAGGCGGAAGGATGTATGTTGCGACATGGGTGACTGTTATGTACCAGTTGTGCTTTTTGTTTGGTCTGACATGTGTAGTTAAAAAATCGAAACAAAGAACATTTTTGCGCCAAGATTTTGGGAGCGGATGCGAGGTATACCGAGCTAGACGATGTCGTCGTTGCATTTTTACTTTACTACCAAATTAATTAAGAGGTAACAAACTTTTCCTTCAAATCTCAAGCAATCCTTTCTAGTTTCTTCCCCTTAATTTCAATACAAAATCCATTTTTAAATGGTACCATACAAATCATTTGGTAGATCGGGCTAGCTAGCATCAGCATAGACAAGCATAGACAAGACGGTGATGGATCGATGGAATTGTGGATCAGGCAGCAGTTTATCCCCCTACATCATGTCATCTTTCTTAATGTGTTACTCAGTTCTTCATGAACTTAATACTCTAGATGCAGGCAGGAGTCGGTCGATGTGTGGAGTAATAGTAGTAGATACATGCAGGAGTCGGTCTACTTGTCACGGACGTGATGCCTATATACATGATCATGCCTAAATACTCTCATAACTATGCACTTCTCTATCAATTGCTCGACAGTAATTTGTTCACCCACCGTAATACTTATGCTATCTTGAGAGAAGCCACTAGTGAAACCTATGCCCCCGGGGTCTATCTTTTATCATATAACTTTTCCATCTACTTTTATTTGCATCTTTTACTTTCCGATCTATATCATAAAAATACCAAAAATATTTATCTTATCTTATTATCTCTATCAGATCTCACTTTCGTAAGTTACCGTGAAGGGATTGACAACCCCTTTATCACGTTGGTTGCGAGGTTATTGTTTGTTTGTGTAGGTGCGTCGGACTTTTGAGGAGCCTCCTACTGGATTGATACCTTGTTTCTTAAGAACTGAGGGAAATACTTACGCTACTTTGCTGCATCACCCTTCCCTCTTCAAGGAAAACCAACGCAGTGCTCAAGAGGTAGCATGCCCTTCGGTGGGGACTCAATCCTTCATTGGCAGCACAGTATGACATGGAGTGAACCTGTCAATGGAGGTGTTTAGCGGCCCATAAGTAAAACGTGATTTCATAGCCATGGTACATGGCTCCAAATGACGTGTCACACGCCAATAAAAGTAGCTAAGAACTTGGACTATGAGAGGACTAGAATATGCGGAAATGGGTGAAAATTAATTAGAGGAGGTGGGCATTGTCGAAAGGTCTACGTAGATGCGGTCAATGTCCAAACAATGGCACCAGGGGATCTATGTCGTGGCATGGGTGGTCGTTGTATAATGATTATGGCTTTTGGTCTATCAGATATGCAATTTTTAATAAATAATAATAGCTTTGTGCACCAATGTTTTAGGAGAGGAAGCAAAGGATACCTAAGTGACATGTGGTTTCTTGAGTGGCAGCATGGAAGCAGCAAGCGCACATGCAAGTATAGAAAACATACAATGCAAGTCAGACATGTCTCACGTGATTTGACCCAATAGTAAAAATATAATTCATTGTTATTTGAAACAATGTGCACAAATCAGGGTGCTCGTTAATATGCAATGTGAAATAAAAATCTAGAAGTTGTGTGCTCTAACCGTTTAGGAAAGAAACCGAAGGGTATTGAGAAAATGGCATGCGGTTCCTTCCATACAGACAAGCGACAAATGAGCAACAATCTTAATTAGACCGTGGTATGTTGGGGGTGGGGTGGTGGGGGTATGTAAGCAGATGGTCAATATCCAAATAGTGGAACCCAATGATCTATATTGTGACATGGTCGACCAATATATAACGATTGTACTTTTTGACCGGTCTGATATGTAGTATCAAATCACAATTAGGGAGTTTTGCACGCCAAGGTTTTGTGGGAAGGAAACGAATAATACTGAGATGGCCACCTAGGCAATGATGTCACATGATTTTCTTAAATAAGGAGGAACAAGCTTTTTTTTCAGTCTCATACGGTTCTTTATTTCTTCTAAATTGGCTCAAGCACAAACAACTAAACTTCCTTGTATAGAACATATGACAAAGCACATGCAAGTATAGAAAATATAAAATGCATGTAAGGTATGTATGTGGCTTGATACAATAGTCAAAAAATAAGATGTAAAAAAAAATCCAGGGCATCGATATATATGCAATGTGAAATAAAAACCTACAACTTTTGTGCACCAATTATTTGAGAATGAAACTAAAGGATATTAGACAATGGCAAATGTTTCTTCCATGCCGGCAAGGGAGCACCAAGCTTAATTAGGCATGCCTCCCTCTGTAGAGTGCAAACCGTACGTGGCTCCCAATAAGGTGTAATGCGCCAAAAAAGGACAAACAATAACGAGAACTATATAGAGAGAGAGGATTAAAGTAGAGTTGAGATGGACTCGGAGAAAAAAAAACTGAAACTTGCTTGACCCACAGTCAAAAATAAGAAGTAAAATCAAAGGTGCTCATTTATATGCACCATGGAATCAAAACCTAGAACTTCCGCCCACCAACGATTTGGAAAGAAATGAAAGGATATTCAAACAATGTCAGTCGTTTCTTCCATGCCAGCAATGGAGCATCAAGCTTATAATTAGGCATGTCTCTCTCCATGTAGTGGAAATGGCATGTGGCTCCCAATGAGGTATCATGCACCATGAAAAGGAAAGAGAAGTAAAGTTGAAATTGATGGGGATTTCAGGGGGGCACGGTTGGGGGATGGCGAATGTATGTGCTCATCTTCGAATACCAGAATGGGCAGGAGGCGGAAGGATCTATGTTGCGACATGGGTGACCGTTATGTACCAGTTGTGCTTTTTGTTTAGTCTGACATGTGCAGTTAAAAAATCGAAACAAAGAACATTTTTGCGCCAAGATTTTGGGAGCGGATGAGAGGTATACCGAGCTAGACGATGTCGTCGTCAAATTTTTTACTTTACTACCAAATTAGTTAAGAGGTAACAAACGTTTCCTTCAAACCTCAAGCGATCCTTTCTAGTTTCTTCCCCTTAATTTCAATACAAAATCCATTTTTAAATGGTACCATACAAATCATTTGGTAGATCGGGCTAGCTAGCATGAGCATAGACAAGCATAGACGAGACGATAATGGGTCGATGGAATAGTGGATCAGGCGGCAGTGTTGGTTGGCTTGGGGACATACTTGCGGAGCCAAATCTCATGTTGTCCTATGGAGATCTTGACGAGCCTCTCGCCGTTGAGCACGAGCTTCAGGATCGCCTCTGTCTTGAAGATAATCCGGCCGTACATAGGCATGTGGCCTCCCTTCGTCTTCTCCATCAGCACCCTCACCACGCAGTCACCCCACTTCCTGCAACATGCACGCAAATCATGAGACATGATCGAATTCCAATCATCATGGATCATCCATGCAGATCTTAGTAGATCCATGTGTATAAATAAACTTAATCAATAGATCGAGTAGTGTATGTCGGTGCACACTTACTGCTTGAAGTACTCAAAGATCTCCTCGCGGTGGATGGCATTTCCCTTGGAGAAGGTGATGAACATGGAGCGGCAGTCCTACGGAACGGCCACTGGTTGGGAGGTGTAGGGCGCCATGAGCTCCGGCGGGTTGAGAATCAGCCTAGTCTCGGACCTCCGGAGCAGGGCGTGCAGGCGATCATCAAATACGAACTTTCCGGCACCGTCGAGGAAGTGGGCGACCCCGCGGACGATGAGGTCCTTGTGGAAGGCGAAGAAGCCCAACTCGATGTGGACACCGCCTTGCATGCAGAGCGCATAGATGATCGGGATGGGCGGGAGAACAGGTTTTTGGTGGCGGAGGCACTCGAGGACGGCGTTGGCCTCTTCTGCGACGACGACTACAGCGTCGGGCGCCATGGCTGGGACGTGGTGTATGGAGGAGATGGTGCCCTGGTCTAACCACACCAGCAGCGCCACCGCATTCTGGGCTTTCTTTGGGCTGCCGCACACAGAAAAGAACCGGTCGTATGCCTGCCGTGCGACATTGTACATGTACAACACCTCGCGCATAGTCATCGCCGCCATGGTCGCTCTGATTATTTGGTTGCTCTTGCACGGGCCGTCCGGAGAAGAGGCGATCGATGATTGGCCTGAGAAGAGAAACTAGTAAGAGAGGAGCGAGGAAGGGGTGATGGGTCGATGGGGAATGGACAGTTATTTGTAGGTTCTCCTGCTCCTGTTCCGGCGACGTGCTTGCGCTCCGGATGGTGGAAGGTTTAATGAGGTGTCAAAAATGGGCTAGTGGGAAACAACTCCCTTTGATTTAGTTTCGAACGCCAGCATGTACACATAGAGGCTCTTCGTTCGTTGGCTGGTTTTACATCCTTTTTTGAATTTTTGTTCGTTTTACATCCTGAAATGTATACATATGTCGTTGCTTAACAACTTTGGATGCGGCGCAGCACTTGTATATCCTTCTAAATTTGCACTATCTTTTTCTTGGCACTGGTCAATTTTAATATCAGCAGAGTTCACATGTTATACTTTTCTTGTTGATTTCATTTACATATCTAGAGGACATGACATTGTGATTCCTTACTCTCTACATAAACTTTATTGTCGCTCTAGCTACCTGCTTCCCCCATCATCAATGGTGCAAGCGTCAAGTCAGGACACCACCGTACCACCATTTGATTGTGAGCTAACTACACTGGCAGAGCTTTGGCAGGGCCATCCTGGGCCACTGCCTCCAAGCCCAAGATTCTTCTTCTTCTGAATACCCCTTGTTAAATTAGCTAAATCTTTATGAAAACCTGTCCAAAACTTGTTTTGCTTGCCCTCCTAGTCCATTTACCCATCAAGATTATGGCCTAAGCTCCGCTACAGGGGAGCTAAGCCCGTCTGGGTTTGGTTTCACGGAACCTCCTATATATAGAACTCAAACTAGGCTAGCCCAACATCGAAACAGTCGATATATGTATCAAAACAGTGGACATTCTCAAATTTTTGTGCATGTGGTGGGGATAGAACATGGGACATCCTGCTCGCACATGCACGAACCTAGCAACTAGATCCAGCGAGCTTTCATGACTAACGAGTACTCCCTCCGTCCTTGAAAAAGTGTATTTCCAACTTTGTTGTAAAGTCAATTTTTTTTTATGTTTCATCGTATTTATACAACAATACAAACATTTAGCCATCAAATTAGTAGCATAGATTCATGATAAAATATATTTTTGTAATATACTTTTTTGGTTTCACAAATATTATATTTTTGCACAAACTTGGTCATATTAAACTTTGAGGTAGCTCGACCCTCCAAACTTTGAGGTTTCACAAAATTAGTAGCACTCTTTGAAGGACGGAGGGAGGAGTGCGGAATGATAAGAACTATGAACAGGGACAAATGCTTGATTAACATTTTTCAAATATGAAATTAACATTTTTTAATATATGTCTAGCATTTTTTCTATACACATTTAATATTTCTCAAATACATGTTAAACAAAAAAAATTCAAATGCTTGACTAATATTTTCTAAATAAATGGCCACTTTTTTCACACACATTGTATATTTTTTGTATACATTTTTCATATACATGAGAAACAATTTTCTTTATACACAATTAACATTTTGTCAAATGCTTCCTTAACAATTTTTAATACATGGTCACATTTTTTCTACACATTTAGAAAAAATTAAAATGCTTAATTAACATTTTTCAATAGAAGATTAACATTTTTTAAATACATGGTCAACATTTTTTCTATACGCATTTTATCAATTTCAAATGCTTGGTTAACAATTTTCAAATACAAGTTCGGCATTTTTAATACACGGTCAACATTCTTTCTATACATATTTTAAAAAAAATCATATGTTTGATTAAAAAAATTCAATGCTTTTTAACATTTTTTAAAATACCGTATCAACTTTTTCACACACATTGTAAATTTTCTTTATAGATGAGAAACAATTTTCTTTATGCACATTTAACATTTTTCAAATGCTTGGCTAACATTTTTTCATACGTTCTATGTCAATTTTTTGTAATATTTTAATTTAAAATATCTGGTAGTATAACCAAAATAAAATAATGAAAAATGTGGAAAAAAACATGTCCGTGGCCTCCCACGCGCTTTGAGGATCCTAACGCGAGAGCATGCCAGTTCTCGCTATAAGCGAGATATAACGCTGCCTCCAACTAGATTGGGACCTAGCTAAAATGGTAGAGAGGGCAAGACAATCCTGGGCCAATGCCTCCTAACCCAAGATATTTTTGTCTTCTGAATACCCTTGTTAAATGGGCTAAATCTTTACGAAAACTAGTTTAAAACTTGTTTTTCTTGCCCTCCCAATCCATTTACCAAACTCCGCTACTAGCGAGTTAAGCTTGCTGCCAGCCTGGGTGTCCATTGCCCGTTCAACCATCATGGTGCAAAAAAACAAGGCCTAACAAAGCGGGAACCAACCTAGAATCCTAGAGTATCATCCTGTGGATTGGTTTGGTTCACATCCATGTGTGCATTAGCTGGCCTTTTCTAGCTCTAAAAATTGAAGAAGCAGGAGTTGAGACATATTACAACGAGATGCCACTGCTAAGTGAGTATGTAGCATACCGGTTCACTCATTTTGTTTCTCTCCCCAATATTTTTCTCTCCTGCCCGACCAGATGCACGGGGAGATGATGTTGGGTGTGAACTGGCCGAACGATTTCCCAAATAGACCGGGCCACATGCGCCTAAATGGGCCTAAGGCCTCGTACAACGACCAAATCGAGAAGCTGCCGTACCGAACGATTTCCCAGTCGCCACATGATTTGAGAAGTCACACGAGGAGCCAGCTTTGAGAAGTTTTAGAGAAGCTGGGAGGTTTCAGAACACGCCCTAAGTAATACGGGCATTGCATGTGAAAACTTAGATAATTAAAGTATGGCCAAATGCTGACATATTTTCTTGTCATAGGTGTCTAATTTTTTTAGGCACATGGATGAACCATTAGATGCATATTTAGTTCTTTTAGGACATTCCATAAAAAATATCAATTATAGCTGCAAAATACTTGAAAACGTCATGGTATATACTAAAAAACTCGGGTAAAATATTTCTAGCACATTTTTCTCTAAGAAGTGTCTATTTTAGGTACTTCGTAATAAACTTAATATAAAAACATGAATACCTGATGTTACATCGCAAAGAGAAATAGGATTTCTGATGTACGTCTATAGCCTTGAATACAAAGAAATATAATCACAAAAGGAGAAAACCAATGACTGTTCTGATCTCTTCTTGTTTTTTCTCATGTTTAATTAACTACCCTCTTCAAGTTCTGTAAGTTACTTCGCTACAACTAATGTTTTAGATGGAAATAAAAAATTGTTTATGATAGTGAGACCAAGTTCTTCCTTAAATTGCAGAGTTATTGTTACCGGTGCACTGTATGTTTATGTGTCCTACTAAATTTGGTAGAAGATATACAATACAATAAACACAGAAAGGAAAACAACTCCATATATATCAACAATACAATACGATGGTGTTAGAGCCAAAGTGCTAATGATGTATTGTCAAACTGTTGTCAGTGGTTAGGATATTTCACACCATTTTTCACTTCTCACTGTCAACACACACAAGTTCAGGGAGGCTATCTTTCTCACTATTTTAGTATAATAGATTTTAAAATGTATCTCTTCTCTTCAGTCATATAATTTTTCCTAATAGTACACCACGTTCTTGTATAAAGCCCGTAATAGTTCTTCACATATATGTTTCATGGGAGCATAATCATGAATCCTATTTTATAGTATGAGTGATTCTCCCCCATCTCATCATTCATTTGTCCCTTTTCTATCTCTATAATTCTTTCTGTCTCTCCAGTTACCATCCCCGTCAAGGTTAGTGTAAGAAGTGGAGATGTTCTCTATGGTGCTTTCGATTGATGACTCATTTTCTGAGTCGGTTAGGTGCATAGGTTTGGTATGATCTAGCTGACCTTGATTACCCACAAGTATATGGGATCAATCGTAGTCCTTTCGATAAGTAAGAGTGTTGAACCCAACAAGGGGCAGAAGGAATTGATAAGCAGGTTTCAGCCAGGCTTCACTTCAAGTGATGTAAGATAGTTTTGATACTTATTTGATAGCAAGATAAAAACTTACGAGGTAAAAAGTAAACATAGTAACAAAGTGTAGCAAGTGACCCCATCCTAAATTGTGCTAAGGACAAGCTAGTGGTGTTTCTTATAGTGGCTAAGTGCTCTTGAGGACATACGGAAATATTGCCAAGTTACTTTCACCGCGATTCATTAAATTAACATTGATTGTCTTGATAAGTGTTTTGTGGGTGAACTGGAGCTAAGGTGTTGTCCTAACTTTAACAATAACCTACTTATGATTATACTCTCCATGCTAGCATCCACAACTACAATAGAAGTACTCCCTCTGTCCTTTAAATACTGTACTTCCAACTTTGTTGGAAAGTAAAAAAAATATTTGACCATATTTATACAATAATACACCAACATTTACGCCATCAAATTATTAGCATTAGATGCATTGTAAAGTATATTTTCATCATATACCTAT